TTTTTTTTTTTGGATACTCTTGTTTGTCTTTTGACCGTTTTTCTCTTTTTTCCATGGCATTGTCACTTTATTTTCAAGTTATGAGTTTAAAAATCCCTTTGGTATCTTTCGCCTCTAATCCATTCTTCCAGTTGAAAAACAGGAATCACCTCCCTAACTTTTTAAGTTCTGTTGGGCTATATATACCAGACACACTAGATATAGTCTCCAAGTTGATATGTTCCTAAAAAAAACTTTGGTCCTTGTCTAGTATCTAGTTAGGCAAACTCTAAAGTAATCCCTCAAGTCCTCTATGGTGACTGCTGCAACTGTGTTGATAGGTAGGACATTCCCATCCTAGACTGTACTGTAGAACAAGGAGACTCTCTATGCCTTATCGTTAGATCTTTATTCGAAGAGGCGGTGTTGTCCTCTTGTTCAGCTGTCATAATAAGTAAGATGTATGTCACTTAGAAGATATCTGTATTGTATTCTAAGCTCCGACAGCATCAATTGGTGATTTGATGGTCGCAAAATTAGATTACTGGCGTTGTCCTTTAAATAAGGTGTCTGTTGATTTATCATCAATTGTGGTACCTGATTATGTACTCGTGGAAAACAACCAATGTCCAGGATCCTAGATGTACTAGATGAATGCTTTTTCAATAAAGACAATTCAAAGAATAAAATGGTTTATCTATGTTAAAATTAAAAAAAAAAAGATATTATAAAACTTGTTTGAATCAAAGAAAAAAGGGGTAGTTCAAATTTATATGAATTTCTTTCACAGCAGATCCCTTTTTCAAAATCTTTTCAATCTTTACTGAAATTTACAGTTTCATAAGTTAACTTGAGGTTTTAACAACACTTAAATGTACATGTATTTCAGAACCTTTGATCAATTCATAGATACTAGTTATTGTTTTGATTGGTGTCCTAGATTCTTCTTGAAATGTAGCATACTCCAGAATCCTCTTAGTGCAAATCTGGATATCACAAATTCTACCAGTAGGTATTGAAATTCTGATTTGTGAGGATTTTAATCAGTATAAATCAGAATTCTAATTTCTACTTGTAGATGTTGGAATTGCAATGGTACTAGGGGGATTATGGATCCTACTGAATTCCTAATTGTACTGTAATATATATATATAGATATAGATAAGCCCCTTTTTTAAACGGAGAATTTATGTTTTCCAGTGACTGTACATAATATTCGCGTTGCTCAGTCTAAGTTTTCTATGTTTTGTTTGACTGTTTGTATTTTTATCGTTTACTTTCTCAGCCATAGCGTTGTCATTTTATTTTCGACTTATGAGTTTGAATGTCCCCTTGGTATCTTTCGTCTCTCTTATACAGTCAGTAGCAACTATTGAAACAAATTGAACACAAAACTCCTTTAACATGTTTAATCTGCTGATCAACCAACCTATTGTTTTATCAAGAGGGAGATAATAACATTATTCAATGATTCTTTAATTTTGTTGTTTATTTTCATTTTACTATTTACCAAACGTTTTCCAGTGAACTTTTAAATCTTTGTGGAGAACGTCCTCATATTGCAAAGTTTTTTGATTCCAGTATTTTCTGGGGGGGGGGGGGGGGGGGGGGGGTAAATGTTTAATACTAGACTTCCAGTGTTTATCAAGTCTTACATTTGTTTGTAGTTTTCCAAACGAACGATAAAAAAGACACTTCTGATATAAATTTGTCATTGTTGGCTATTGTTAATTTACCAATTGATAAAAAGTGTATCTTATTTCGTCAGAGATCTTAATTATTAACATTAAGATGTACAATTAATGATTATTGGAATACATATACCGTCATTCCTCAAAATCATGTAATTGTTTTATCGTATTGAATGAAAGAAACAAGAATTTGTTTTTGAAGTCCGTATCGATACCTCCAGGATACTACCAAAGTATATCAACATTTTCAAAGTGGTCATATTATGTAAGTATAGACGTCGATATATTAATTGTACAAACAATTAGTTGTGATCATAAAGACGTTTTAGGTTATGTCATTTATGTGACAATTATATAAGCAAAACTTCGGTTTTTAATTGAGGAGCAAGATCTTATCGCTCGTACAGAATAACTCAGTTCGAAATTTGGGTCGAGTTTGTGGTATGAAAACTTTAATTTTCTATGTGTTCTATTGTTGAACTGTTGGTTGTCTGTCACCTGTTTTTCGTAACGCCACAGTGGTATTTTCCTTTGAATTTCTTGTTTTTATTCCCTTTTGGCATCGTCTCCACTTTTCTTATTTCCATATTTCACATATAAGTAATGGAAGTTACATTATGCATGTATATTACATTTGAATTTATTTTGTTTATTGAAATCGACCATTCCAAAGTATAGACCCAGCCAGTTTTGTTTGTATATTTCTAATCACCAAAGTATCTTTTGAAAAGATAATATACATGAATGTTCAATTTGACCTGAACAATAAAATTCAAAGTACGGATATCGACACAAACTATTTTCAAACGATGAACAATTAAAATTTGATTAGAAAAAAGTCGTTATTTGATTTCAATAAATATTTTGGACAACATTATTGACTTACATTTTATTTGCTTGTATAAATTCAAGGTACATGGATATTAATTGATCATAACACACAATTTATAATAATACAATTTTGATGATTCATTATCAAACATATATTATCAGACAATAAAATTTGAAAAAAAATCGATAACTCAGCATTGCCTTGATTTATTATCATAATCTATTCCCATTCTTCGTGTGTCTGTCCCGAGTCAGGAGCCTGTAGTACAGTGGTTGGCGTTGGTTCTTATCTGTTATATTTGTTTTTTGTAAATTGCTTAGTTATAAATGAGACAGTTACTTTTCTTGTTTTCTTGTTTCACATTTTTCATGTCGGGGCTTTTTTAGCCGACTAATTGGTATGGGTTTTTTTCTCATTGTTGAGGGCCATACGGTGGCATGTACTTGCCTACTACCACTTCATTTTAACTCTGGTGTATTATTGTCTCATTGACAATCATACCATATTTCCTCATTTTTATAACACATTTATTCATAATTCAAAGTGTTTACAATTTAGAATTTCCTTTTCTGTCATCTTTAAAGATAATTCTCTTTTGTCAGTAATTATAGCTAAGCAGTTGATCTAATTGTATTCTGCTACGATGCTATTTGAATAAGGTAAGTGGGGGGAAAAAACTTGTCGAAGATTTCTAAATAATATATGAAAAAAGGTTTTCCATATACTATGTTGAATTCTTTTTATTCAGAACTATATCTATATGATTTACATGGATGTAACCATTGTTATGATATTGTAATTATCATGTTTATTTATCTTGGCCTAATTTGTTTTGTGTGTCCTTATAATATTTATTTTATTGGGTTATAGTTGTTTACAAAATAATGTTATAATTGTGCAGTTTAGAAATCACTGGAATAATCATAGATACTGATGGAACGATTATAACTTTCTTTTTGACTTGCATAATAATTCCGGAATTATCATAATCTACGATGTGTATTTTAAACTTCTACAGTATTGTAGAAGTTTCCGTTCTACAGTTTTCTAGGAGTTTTCTGCTACAGTGTTCTAGAAGTTTCCATGACAACTATATATACAGATACCGAAATTAGACCGATCAGACATTAATTTACTAGTATTCTCAGAAGTTCTCTCGAGTTGTTGAATTAACATTTTTATTTACGTTAACTACATCATACTAGATTGTGAACCTATTGGACATATTCCGTACAGTTAAGAGAAGAATTATGGATAAAGAAAAGACATGGGATCGGACATCTATTTTAACAGTTAAGTTGACATTTCAACTTGTATAATATTTCTTGTAAACTTGTGTTTAATAAATCTTGTTAAATTTTGTTATTGATTTGTGTCTTTTGTTGGCTACAATTAAAAGGTGATTTATGGCCGCAACAGTGAAGAGAAGAATTATGGATAAAGAAAAGACGAAAGGATCGGACTATATACTTTAACAGTAAAGTTGACGTTTCTATTTGTGTAATACTTCTTGTAAACTTGTGTATAATAAATCTTGTTAAATCTTATTATTGATTTGTGTCTTTTGTTGGCTACAATTTAGAGGTGATTTCTTGCCGTAACACCATAAATAAACAAAATAACGGAAAATACTATGGCTGAAATAAACAAAGTTTCCGTCAATTCTCATTTTAACGCAAAATGATTCTTTAGAAAAATACCCCTTGATTAGACCATAATAATACATTTCTACCTTTTTTTTTGTTAAGAAAACAGCCATAAGTCTAGTGGAATTTGAAAACAGCTGAATGTCTTGTATACGACAATAATACAACAACAAAAAACAAAAAAAAACAAAAAGACTGAAAGTTAATTAGCGATCAAGATACAATCTTATGAATAAAAATCCTTTAGCTTGATGATCCAAATAATGATTTTTGCATATATGGTTTTTGACGCTTGTTCTGTTGGGACAACAACATATGTGTAGTAAATTAAAGAGAGGATAAAGCATTTACAATCTCTGTCTTCAAGAAAGTACAAGAAACACATGTGATCATTGTACATCGTAAGTTTATAAATGCGCTTCTAAATGCATGACCGAACATCTTTGATCTAACTGATAAAGTGTCCTGTTTGGGTTCATCTGCTCGCAATGTATCCATGTTTTGGCAAATTCAGCAACTGAATCCATTAGTAGCATGAAGTTATTAATCTAGTTGATGGGCTGGGAAACCGATATTTCTGACGTTGGGAGACAACTCTCTAGGCTGTTCATTGTCTACAATGCCATGGTCTTAAGTTATAATTACATTTAAGTCATACACATATGTTTTCATTTTAAACGAAACTATTGGAGCATTATGTTTTATTTGTTAAAGTAAATTTGTTATTTGAATAGTCTGAAAAAGGTAGAAATTTTCTTTTTTTTTTATTGCATGGCACGATTTAAGTCATAAATGTTCTCTAGCAAGGTCATATCTGGTCTTAGACAAGTAAATGTTTTCCATCGCGGTGCATGCTGTGAACAAGGTACCTTTATTTTTCTTAACAAATACAAACATTACAATATAAGTATGATTATAAATACAATAACAAACAATAATTGTTCAATAATAAAAAGGGGAGAGGCAGTTCATACAGTATACAAAGGAGGATAACTCCTGGTCCACTTCAAATATTCATAAACAATTGTTAATTGCATATACGTTTTTTTGGTCAAGATAGAATGTTTATTCTGAGATCTTTTGCCCGTCTTGTTTCAAATAAAGGATTAAGATAATCTATTCTGATATAAATTATATGTCATCATTTGATATTATCCAGATTAAAAGATCATCTTTATGTAATTTTATCAAGTTATGAAACTTAAGACTATGGTATCTTAGTCTAAATTTACACAATGTGAATCTTTTTTTTTGGGGGGGGGGGGGGGGGGGGGGTTTGATATTAACAAAATTTTCAAATTCAAAGTTGAGTATGCAATTAAAATCGGCTTTTAATTTGCTGTGCTCCCCATGAGACATGCTTTTCCGATGTTTAATTAAATCTATTTTGAAGCATTTTTTTTAGCAACCTCTTAAATTTGTATTCGTTATAATTTTTGCAAATAAAGAGATCAAAATTCAATTTCTCGCCAAAGAATTTACTTGTATTATATTAGGTATTGGTTGTAACTACCTCTCTTGTTTGATATTCACTGAAAGCTAATGTCAATAGCTGTGTAGGTGAGTTAACAAAGCGGTGCCAATACATACACATGTTGTTAAGAGTATGAATATAAAAAGAGAATCTTCCAAGTTCAGATAAAACATCAATATTTGTACAACTTTTTATAACACCAAGAATGTATTCACAAAATCAAATAAATATATATCATGTGTATGGTGCATGTAACTAAAATTGTACTTTTTCTACAGCCATGTTGTTAGAAAGATATTTTGTCAATGGTATTTACTCTAATCTTGCAAGAGAGACATAATGTTTAGTTACCATGCAAAGAAAATTCGACGAAGCAAATTCTTTAATTAACATCAAACAATAAGTATGACTGCAGAACAAATTCTCCAAAAATACACAACATTCGAATATCTTACCACCTTTCCTTTGACCTTCTTTTATAATTTTATGTCTATCAAACAAACACAAATTGCACTAAAAAGCAAACAAATGATGTATATGCTGTATTGCCGATTTGTGTGCCCTTAATGCAGTGTTATACTAAGACCTAACAAAAGTATAAACAATTTCAAAAGAAGATAGATTGTATATTCAACAAATGCAGTGATAAAAACAGTGATGAAATGAAAATGCAGAGTACTGTATGTTATTAAAATATGGTCAAGACAAATGTTTATGTTCCTCTATAAATATGGTCAAGACAAATGTTTATGTTCCTCTATATGTCTCTGGTGTACATCTGCAATAGTATGGTCACCGTGCTATAAATTGTATTTGCGAGAAATATACTTTGATAAGCTAGCGAATCGTAAACAAAGTTAGAAAAAGCTAACATATGTTTTCAATTGACCAGACAGCGATGTGAGGAGTAGATCAACATAGGTATGCACCTTTTGTATCAGATCGGATCTGGAAATGGTAGAATTATGGACTTCACTACTGATTCGAGGAATATAAGCCTGTGTAACAAATGTCAAAAAAAAAAAAAAAAACGTTTAGTCTAAGAAACCCATTCGTATCAAGATAAACTATTATCTTCATACGTATTTCATTGTTTGCTTTACGTGCAAATTCATAAACAAAGATAACAGTTGATTAAGTTATATATGTGTGTGATAGAAAGAAGAAAAAAAAAGAAATACAACAGGAACCATTTCAGTAAAGCTGTAATCAAGAACGTTTTTTAGACTTAACGACAATGCAGCCGAGCATGTCAATGAAAACAATTATAACTGTAATTAGACAAATGAAGACGACTCCAACATATCCTACGGACGTAGCCGATACACGATCATCTGGAGCTGATGTCTTGGCACGGAGCATCCGGGTTGTATTAGATTTGTTGATGCTTAGTTCTTTTTTTATCAAGTCTAATTCTGGCTTTAGTATTTCCCTTAATTGATCAAGATTAAGATTCATTCCACGTAAGAAATCCCATTTGCCTTTCCCAACCTGAGAACAGGGACATAGGCATTCAAGTTGACTGATTGGTTGAACAGAAGTGACCTCAGACTTTCCCAAAATTGTTGTCGTTTTCATAGTTGTCACTTTAGATACTCCAGGTTTTGTTATTTGTAAGGTGGTCACTGGCGACTTTCCAAGTATTGTCATGTCTGTAGTTGTCACTTCTGATTGATCAAGTGTTGTTTGTTCTGCAGTCGTCACTATAGATTGTCTAGGGGTTGTCTTCTCTGTAGTTTTCACAGTAGAATTTACGGGTTTGGGTTTGATTCTAGTAGTTGACACTGTTGCTGTTATGACTACGAAAATATAAACAATCCAATATTACAAATTTCAAATTACTCTGTATATATTTTTTAAATGGATTATTATGGTGTTAAACTCTTGTTGTTGGTTTTGATTTATGTCCATTTATCACTAAAATCATAACACTGAAATAATGGTGGATACTTTATATATAGAATCAAAGATTTGGCAGAAACACAACATGTTACTTTTATTTCAAAAAATGAACATAACTCTTTATAAATTGTATGCGTCCGAAGTGCTTTTCTTTTGCCAAAAAGTTAAAAGCCAAGGATATATAAGTATTGAAACACGGATGATCTAAATTACATAATATGACAAAGTGTAGAATGTATCCTTAATAAAATGTTATTGCGAAAAAGAATGTAAGCTAATAAAAATTAGTATTAAATCAATAAAAAATATATCGAAACATATGCCTCTATTTTTACGCTTAGGTATCGCGACGATGTGTATAGATTATCCAAGAATTTATATGTATTTCATAGTTTTATCCATGCGAAAGAACAACCGAAAAAAAACCAAAACAATAATGTTTTCTCACCTCTAAAAACCATGATATTAGCATTTCAGTTTAAGGTAATGACAAATGGATACAAAAGAAAAGTAAGTCGAAAAGTAAAAAATTTAATTCTGGTATCTATGATGAGTTTATTTACATTTGAACGATTAAATATTGACAGATAATACAAAAAATACCAAACACGATATGGCAATGTCAATTTCAGTTCTCAAATAAATACCCAATAAAAAGCTTACAGTCCTGAAACAAGTGCATTTTACTGATATGTGCAGTATTTTCATTTGCAAGTTTCTTAATAAACCAGTTAGTCATGGCGTTGTCAGTTTATTTTCGACTAATGAATTTGAATGCCCTTAGTATTTTTCGCCTCTCTTACACATTCTACACCTGCTCCAAATCTAATGGCTTGCAACCTTCAATGTCATTCCGTCTCAGGCATGTACAAACCGACAGTTTTGCGAAAATTGAAGGTGTCTAGTCTTTTGTTGCAAATGTCACTTATTATACCAATGTCGTATTTCAAGTATCAATCTAATAATATGGTCCCTATGTTAATTTCTTTAATCTTGAATTCATTATTCGTACGCCATCTAATGCATGCTTGTCTACAGTTCCGGATGGTATAGGGGGTCATTGATACAGGCACTGCCTGTTATCTACTCATTTTTATTTACCCTCAATGGCAATGTTAAAAGTAAAATTTTATTTTATTTGCTGAACTACTTAAATTTAAGTGCAATTATCCCCATTTTTTTCTGCCTCTTTAATAATCCTTTTTATTTACTATCAAGAAAATGTTTGAAAAGAAATTGAATTGTATTTGCTACTTTCGTTTCAGTGCTACATATATTAACCATATCATTATGTTCAGTCTTATCTGATTTGAAATCTTACATTCGATAATGTGTTTCAGCAGGTGAAAGAAGTATGGTTGCTGCGTGAATTTTGTTGTGATATTGTAACTATCATGTTTATTTAGTTGGCCTAATTTGTTTTGTGTGGCCTTACAATATGTTTACATATTTATAGTGGTTTACAAAATAATATTGTAACTGTGTAGTTTAGAAATCACTGGAACAATCATAGATACTGATGGAATGATTAGAACTCTCTATTTGACTTACATAATAATTCTGGAATGATCATAATCTACGATGTGTAATTCAAACTTCTAACGTATTCTAGAAGTTTTCGTTCTAAAGTTTTCTAGGAGTTTCCCTTCTACAGTGTTCTAGAGATTTCCGTGACAACTATATATATACTGACACTAAAGTTAAACTTTGAGACATTAGACATTAATATTCTCAGAAGTTCTCTCAGTTGAATTGACACTTTTATTTACGAACAACATCATACTAGATTGTGACTTATTGGACGTAATATTCTGTTTAGATTTCCGTACAGTTACGAGAAGGATTCCGGATAAAGAAAAGACAAAGGATCGGACCTATATTTCGACAGTTAAGTTGACATTTCTATTTGTGTAATACTTCATGTAAACTTGTGTATAATAAATCTTGTTAAATTTTATTATTGATTTGTGTCTTTTGTTGGCTACAATTTAAAGGTGATGTCTGGCCGTAACAATATAAACATAAGAAAATGTGGTATGATTGCCAATAAGACAACCCCCCAAAGAAGACCTCTAACAACTGATGGGGAATGATTTAGAAATCGATGAGACCAACACAATTGCAAATGCATAATACAATACCAACGGTGCGGGTTTAAAGCCTGATGTAAAATATATTTTGCCGTAAAAAAACAGAAAAAAACCCAACAGCAATCCATTTCACTGAAATCTTTTGATTGTGTAATATCGTTGTCAATCATACCATATCTTCTTTGATGTATAAGCCGGTATCAACTGTGATATATATATTTCTCAATGCTTTTCAACTTCGTACTTTATTGGCCTTTTTTTTCCTTTTTTGATTCGAGCGTCACTGGTGTGTCTTTTGTAGACGAGCGCGTCTGGCGTACAATATGTTAATCCTGGTATTTATGATATTTTTTTTAAATATTTAGGCGCTGCTGTAACTAGATAAAAAAATAAAAATGTACACAACAGCCTAATTGATATTTTGTTTTCTTAAATCCTTTTTTTTTCAATAGCTCTTCTTCTTAATTTATAAATTTGAGACTTGATATCATCTACTTGTAATATACATGATATGCGTGATATATTCTATTGCAAGTGTAAAGTGATAGTTTCGATAAACATAGTCACACACCATTGAACTAACCAAAGACAGAAACATCAGTACCTTTGAAAAACAAGTATAACAAAAACATAAAAACTCCAGTTCAAATTCAGAGGAGAAGTCTGTAAAAAATGACATAATCAAACATTATCGACCAACAGAACGAGTGGGAAAAAAATGTCATAATCCTGACTAGCATAGATTAAGCATGAGGGGCATGAAGATAGATTTAATATGAGGGTTCATAGACCAATTAGTTTAATTTCATTTGATTTGATTCAATGACATAACAACTTGTCCCAAATCAGAAAGAGTATTTACGTCTTGTTTTGTCACATTTTGCCGCCAATTGTCTGCAAACTCTACAACATCATGCATAAGTATTTTAAATATGTTTTTTTCAGTATGCTGATTAAAGATTGTTGGATCTACAGTAAAACATTTTATTTTGTTGTCTTTAGGTCATTAGTTAAATCGGGGCCAGTTGGATTTTATATGGATTTTATCTTTACATATATCACTTTACCAACCAGCCTGATGGGTCTGTAATAGGCAATGTAATAGTTCATATATAGTTGAAATGGACATTTAAAACATAGCTTTTCAAACGTGTGCAAATTGTTTTAAACGTCGAGTATTGTCAACGTTATAACAACATCCTTGTTAATTATATTCTCAGAAACTTTATGTTAAAGATGTGTGAAAATATCTATTCTTGACATTTTGAGGTTGAAAACTTAATTTTACGGCAAGAGATGATTAAAATGTTTTCATTGTGCAGTTTATATTTAATTTTCAGTTGACATTTCAATATCGCCTGCAAATTGCGTATCTCTCTTACAGTTGATGCGATATACTAGGGTTGACGTATATGATGATTTCATGTGGAATAATGACAATGATACCAAAAAAGTATTATAGGACAATTACAGAGGTTAAGAATAGATAATTTCCTCTAATTCTTTGGTAATTTAACCCTTTCTGCACACATTGTTTAAAAAAATGTAATCAACGTGTGGTTGTCGATTATCTCGTAGATGGTTGGCTAAGTTAAAAGGTCATTACCTTAATCAGCTCACTGGATGAATCAAAATGTGCTAACAGGTGTTAGAGAAATTGACAACTTTATAAAAACGTTTACTATGCGGAGAAACATTGTAGTCTGACCTTCAGAAATTCTTGTTCAAGTTGTTCGCTACATGTATTACATATAAACATGTATTTAATAAAATGCAATGTTTTTTTTATTAAAAGTGGGCTTTTATTAATGTATCCTTCCATTTGATCTTGAGATGCATAAATAAATTTTTTGCGCATCAATGTCGTTAGTGAACGACATAGAAATCAGAATTCAGAAATATTGAAGGCACTAGAAGGCGTTTATTAAAATTGAAAATTCATCTAATAATCATTTGAGAAACAGATTCTTACATAATTACTCGTGGATTATCGGATTTATCAAATATCGATAGTTGAATTTTCGAATTTATCTATCTCGTTTTGATAAATCCGATAATCCACTGGTACATGCAAAAAGTAAGAATCTATATGTAAACGCCAAAGGTTTCAACATTTACTGAAAGCAAGCGAAAAATTAAAACTATTATTGTATGTATAAAATCCTGTCTTGCTAAAATCCAATATCAGTACCTGCCATTCTGAGTAGGTTTTATACAGCGAAATCATAAATGTACATACAAACCTGATATTATTCCAGGTCTATATCAAACTAAGCTGAATTGCATTACAAGGGGAAAAAATCATTTCGGTCTTAATTCAAACTATAAATAATCGAAAACATGGCATATTTTGGTATAAATATTGATTCACTCATAGGGTCTTTTCATCGGAAATAAACACATTTATTCTAAAACCAGTTGTTGGCATGATACGGGTTATTTTCTTCTCATATATTCTAACGGGAGAGATTGTGCTTGATTTTCATAGGATTTTCATAGGATGAAGAAATAATCTTTCAATCAGTTAAACTGAGGTCTGGAGCTGGCATGTCAGTAACTGCTAGCAGTCCTTTTTTAATTTATGTATCATTGTCATTTTGCTTAGTTTCTTCTGTTACTTATTCTGACATCGGACTGGGACTTCTTTTAAACTGAGTTTTAATGTGCGTATTGCTGTGTGTTTGTTTATTCTACATTAGCTAGAGGTATAGGAGGAGGGTTGAGATCTCACAAAACATGTTTTACCCCGCCGCATTTTTTCGCCTGTCCCAAGTCATGAGCCTCTGACCAATGTTAATCTTGTATGTTTTTCAATTTTAAAATTGAGAATGGAAATGGGGATAGTTCATTTATATGTTGTTGAGTTTAGTATGACGTTTATTTTCACTAAACTAGTAAACATTTTTGTTTAGGGGCCAGCTGAAGGCCGCCTCCGTGTGCGGGATTTTCTCGCTGTGTGAAGACCCATTGGTGGCCTTAGGCTGTTTTCTGCTTTGGTCGGGTTGTTGTCTCTTTGACACATTCCCCATTTCCATTCTCAATTTTATCATTCACAAAAATATAATACCATTAGCGATGAATGACCAATAGACTTATTACAATCTTTATCAATTAGTCGATTAAGCAATTATGAACAATTCCTAGCTTTCATTGCTTTATAAATGTTTTACATATATAATTGTTTGAAATTTACAATAGAAACTTTTAAATCAAGGTTTCTAAAATCTATACGGCTATAATAACATTTGCAGTATCAATTTAATTGCATCAGATGTGAATTTCGACGATTAATGTCTCTTCGGTGATGCTAGATGCCAAAATGTTAGAAAAACCACAATTTAATAAAAACGTTGAAGAGCTGTTCAAACCAAAAAAGAACCAAAAGTATAGCCAAATCCATACATGGAATCAGAGCCTTGAACGAGAAAAAAACATTTCTTCATCTAAAATGATTTCGATCTAACCATATCCGCATTTTCATACAAGTACCGAAGTACTAGCTACTGGGCTTGTAATATCATCGGGAATTAAAAGACTACAATCGAGGTATCAACCCAATGAAAGAAATGACATTAGCTGATCAAAATTTACTGCACCAGATGTACATTTCTCTAATTTGTGTCCGGAGTACAATATTATGAAATGAAAACATGATATAAACGTTGTGTTTGGTAAGATTTTGAGATGAGGCGTATGAATATCAATTGTATATGTAGAAAAAGAATATCTGCATACATTTTCTGCATACCGATTTTTGTTGTAGGGAGTCTTTTTACTGTCACTGGGAATTGCAATGTATGTCAGTCAATGAATAACCTCTTATAAAAAGGGGACAATAAGTATGAATCGGACAATTGCTAACCTGGTCATATACTGGTTGCTAATATTAAAGTTGGAATTAAAGTACTATATATATATATATATATATTCCCTTTAATTACCTCCTTTAATTCAAATACTAAAAATAAAAAGAAACAACCAAAGTGGTTTGATTTTTCTTTAATGAAAATGCGTAAACAATTAGAGGACAAGGAAAAACCATTTAAAAAATATAATAATGACCCTATATGAGAGGGAATTTCTTTAGTTTTTTTAAAACTTTATAGAAAAACTAGAAAAAATAGATATAAACAGTTTGGTAAAGATGTTATTGTACAATTAGACAATATGAGAGATAACAATCCATCCCTATATTAGGCCTTACTACAGTCTCGCAGTAATGAATCCTCTCCGAAAGGAGATACATCTAATATACCAAACTCAGATCGGTTTCACTATTTTGAAAAGCTTAATTCAAATTTTTTATCTGTAAATAAAGAACTAATTGATTCACTTAATGACCTAGAAAAGCATAAAATTTACACAGAATTGGATTATAAAATTACAGAAAAAACAGATAAATGAAGAGGTCAAATTACTAAAATACAATAAATCAAGCAGTTTTGACTCCATAATAAATGATATGCTCAAGTGCAGCCAATCATATGTGCTTAAATGTTTTGTAAAGAATTTTTAACAAAGTGTTAACAACAGGAAAATTTCCTGAAATATGGGCTAACGGATGTATTGTCCCAATACATAAAAGTTGGTCAAAAGATGACCCCTCAAATTTTAGAGGCATCACAATAGGTAGTTGTATAGAAAAACTCTTTTTAAAATACTTAGTAATAGATTAGAAAAGTTTATAACTCCAAAAAATATAGTTGGTCCAATGCAGATAAGATTTTGTAAAGAAAAAAGAACTAGTGACCACATGTTTGTACTTAAAACGTTGATTGATAAATATACTAAGCAGGGACAAAAACGCCTCTATACCTGTTTTGTTGATTTTTAAAAAGCCTTCGACAAGGTCTGGCACTTAGCCTTATTTTTTTAAATTTAGGACGCTCGGATTGAGTGATTTATTTTATAATGTAATTAAAGATATGTATCAAAAAACATATTTGTGTGTAAAAACTAAAAGTAACACACTAACTGAAAACTTCCCATCAGATGTTCGTGTCCGTCAAGGGAATAATCTGAGCCCTACATTGTTTAAACTTTTTATAAATGATTTACCAGAGATTTTTTATTCTAACTGTTGCCCAGTTTTGTTAAACAACAGTACCCTTAACTGTTTCATGTATACAGATGACCTCAATATGATTTCTGAAACTTCATCTGGATTACAAAATTGTTTGGACAATTTAATGGATTATTGTAATAAATGGGGACTAGAAATTAACATGAAAAAAAACAAAGTGTTAATCGTTAATAACACAGGAAGGATATCAAAGGCAAAATTCACATTTAATGGCCAGCTTATTAATAATAAGAATAAATATAATTATCTTGGCATAATATTCACTGTCTCGGGCAGATTTACAGATGCTAAGATCAATCTATATAATAAAGCACTAAAAGCCTTTTTTTTTTAAATTAAAAAGATATTTTATACATTTTAAACCTAATATTAAAACACTTTTACATCTTTTTGACCACATACTGAAGCCAATTTTATTATATGGCTCAGAAATTTGGGACCAATTCTCTCCAAATCAAAAGGGGATAACTATTTTTTCCAAATGTGTAAAGATTTAGTTATTGAAAAATTACATGTTAAATGTTTGTAAATATTCTCTACAGGTACCTAGAAGATCAACTAACCTAGCAATGATGAGAGAGTTGCGGCGATACAGCCTATCTCTTGAGGTTATTCTTAATATGTCTACATTTTGGGTCAGACTATCAGAACAAAATAACTCCCTCATTAAAGAAGCATGTGAAGAGTCTAAAATTTTATCTAAAAAATGTAACAACAATTGGTTGGGTAGCATTTATTCATTATTTAAATATCTTAGTTTAACACCAGAATATTTGTTAAATCACAAATCTAATATAAAGTCAATTATCAATAAAAGACTCAGAATTAAATACGACCTTAAAAAATATTTAGTGTTAATTAATTGTAAAAAAATAAATGAGTTATCCCAATTTAGATCAGTGCCCAAGAACTTGAAAAAGAAAAGGGAAGACACAAAGGAATACCCCCAGACAAAAGATTTTGTAAATTATGTAATAATGACATTGTTGAAGATGAAATTCATTTTCTTCTTCAATGTCCATCACTTAAATCTGAAAGGTCCAGTTTCAATTTAGATTTATCCTCTAAATTTACTAATTTTAAATTTCTAAATGACCAATCAAAACTTATATGATTGATGTCAAATGAAGATCCAATGATTAATAACATAATGATAAAATTAATAGATAGTTTAATAAAGACTAGTAGAGCAAAATTAAGTAATAAAACATGAGTAGCCCCCAGCTCTTCCTTCAATAATAAAACGGTACTGATTGTGTTCACTCGCTCATTATCTTTGGGAATACACTGTGTTTGTTGTCTCCCTTTTCCGATAAAGTTTTATTGTCATGTATTGAAATAGTTCAATAAAAAAAATCACCACAATTATTTGTACACATTAATTTAAACTGTAATTGTTCGGCTCCTTGGGGCGTCTTGATTGACAAATAAAAATTGTTGTTGTTGTTGTTGTATAAAGACTTAACTGAAAACTAAATTGCAAGCTCATCTTCATTGCTGAAAAGGGGAATTTTAGATAAATATTATTACATCCAGTTTACTTGATGATAAACTCATTATAGATACTGGGATTCATATTTTGTACACCAGACGCGCGTGTCGTTTGAAAGAGAATATCTAATAATTAAATATTTATTGCATTACATTATGTGCGATAACATAGTTTAGAATAGATTTATCTAAACTATGATTGTCTTGTTTTCTAAAACAAAAAACAAAAGAAACACATGTTGCAAACTTTGTTTGAAAATAAGCTTCAACGTTTAATTCTCTTCTGTAATTGTTCAATTCAAAGCGAATTAAAACCTACTTACATTCATAAACAGAATTCCGCCAGGAATCACCACATATTTGAGCCAAATTCCCTCGACATGGTTTATTACATTCGTTTACATTTTTCTTTTTGTAAACATTTGGATCGCCCAAAGAATCACCACAAAAACACTGATTGGAATTCTGTAAAATAATAAGTAACTTAGAAAGTTACGAAATGTGCTATGAATGCCAATAAGAAATGAATGACCATAGACAAGAGATCGTTGATGTATCCGAATATATGTTAAAAACAACAATAAACGAAATGTAAATTAATAATGGTAGATATGAGACTGTCACCAACCACTGACAAATAGGCTCTTGACTTCAGACAGACACATCAACTCCAATCTGGTACATTTTATGAACAGTACTTCCACTAAGTCATACAAATAAGACCACAAAAAGACTTACCTTTTCGTTATTTTCTTGCTTTGTATTTCAGCTTTCCAGAAATTTCACATTTTCACTACTGGAAAGCTTAAATTTCGTAAAGTCCAGATCATTGATGATGACGGAAAGTGTCAAACGCACGTGCTAGCAGACTACAAATGCAAAGTGTGAAATCATGAAGTCCGACAAATCGGGAACGTTTTTCCAGTTGTTAACAGACACCCATATTTGAATAAGAGCAACAGGAACCTTTCAAACATTTCGGTTTTCATGATTTCATGCATTGCATTTGGATTCTTCAAGTGCCAGTTCAGTTCAACATCTACTTTAATCATCAATAAAAGACTTGAAGGTACAAAGGAGTTTTCAAATATCTGGAAAGATGAAGGGTACATAAAAACCAAGACCGTAAACCAAAAGTTAAGTCTTTTTGGCGTTGATATATGGTCTTATTTGTATTATGTAAGATGTTCGAAAGCTAATTTTCTGTCTTTCCTGCCTTGTCAAAAATAAGAATGGAGAGGTAGCATATATGAACTAATGCTTGAGGAATCTCGTGTAGATGTGTGCAGGAACACATTAATCAAGTGAAATAAAATAAAATATTAAACAAATACGTAATATAGAAAACAAGCAAAAACAAAGAGAAGGAGAAAGGAAGAGAAAAAATTATGGGTCCATGACCCAACTCCTGTAAAATCAGTTGCGTAGATTTTCCATAGCATGTCATTGGTTACAACTTACTTGTAATCCCAGGTACCGGTGTCCATTACATGATTGTTTGCACATTTCAAGTCTCATTTTGTCATCATGATGGTCATCATCTAACATTCTATTGGAGTCATCTAAGTAGCAACCAAGGTATTTAATTTCTGAAGAAAAAACTGTATCGCATAAATACCATTTATATAAAGCTAACATGCAATATCCGTATACAGTTTAGCGTGTTGAAGTCCCAACTGTTACCGTCGAATAAAAATATAATCATATTACAATTTAATCTTTTTTCAAGCTGTGTTATAATATATCACATATAAAATGTTAAATAAGAAATTATGACAACAAAAACATGTTTAAACTATCATCTTATACCTGGTATCTTTGGTGAGTTTTTGATTAAAAGAAAATTCAGAAATAAGAATCAACCACAATAAGACATTGGGGATAATGATAACAAACATTGTCATATATTCATAAATGAAGACGGGTTGTTATGGCAAGTTTTATGTCTTTTGACCGTCAAAATTCTAGTGATCAAATTTACGAATTAACATTTTTGGTGAGTTTTGATCCTATAGCGACTCGGTGGTGAACTTTGTTTAAGGACGCTTCGTCCATGAGGGCATTACCATTGGAATAGATAGTGCTGCTATGCAGACATTAAATATCTGACGCCATTTACTGGATCTGGTTTTAATAATGTTAATGATGCTGCACATGCCGGCTCCTTTCAACATCACTTTGTTTGTAATGGTGGTTGGCCAACATATCTGGCGATTTCTTGCAAAATTCTAGTGTGTATGGTGTTTAATTTGTCTCTATCTGTCTTGATTATCATCTAACATTCTGCATCATAAACCTTTCATATAATTAGTTTCCTATATAGCTACTGAATTGGTTAGATGTCCATATTTTGCGTTTCTCATAGATGCTGCTCTTGCCGTCTTGATTCTAGTTGTTATGTCTGGTTGTGGTCAATCTGGTTCGTAATGTTTCCGTTTGATGAAGCTATGTTATTGTAAGAATTTCTTTGTATTGGACAATATGTTTGAGTCAATAACACGGTTAATATTTTGACAACAGTTCTAAATAATGCTCATGATTAAATTTATACATAGTATTCTCCATCGCATCTTCATATACATCATTGTCTGTTTCTATCTTTGTATTTATATCAATAATGACTATCATAAGTTCATGTTTAGAAATTTCTGCTGTTACATTTTTCAAAATTCTCCTCTCTAACTTTCTCTAAAGCTTCATTCGTTGGTTCATAACATTGTACTAAGATCAAATTTATACATTTGGAATAAAATCGAGCTGTTTTTATTATTTTATAGATAGGCTGACATTCCATGTGTATTTTTAGATGGCTTTGGATATACTTAATGTTTCTCAACATTCATTTTATTCTGTCTGTTCATAGCATTGTCTCATCACTTCTGACCTTGGTCTTTCCTGTTCAAGTCAAATGCTCTTCAGGTTACAAACAATATTATTGATTTGGTCATTACTTGAAAATTTACTATTCATAAGAACGTTAAACGCATTTAACATTATGACTTTTCTACCCAGATTTGGAACAGCTTTTGTTTTAAATTTCATACTTGATAGTGGACTGTCAACTGTTTCAATTTTTTTCACACAGTAGGGATTTTTTTTGTAGATAAAGAGCGTGTCAGGGGTAATTCATAATATGCCCAGTATCTTTGGGGGAGATTCAATATAAATATGTAAATTAAAGTAAATTTTTTTGTAAACGAGAGCGCAAATAACTACATTATATTAGACAAATACGTCAACGGGCAATCAAACACCTTTTTGATATGATGTTAATCAATGTTTTTCTCTGATGACCGAAGTTGTTCTTGGATGCATTCAAAAGTTTTTAAGAGATCTGTCAAAATATGGTATGCTTACGAAAAACTTTCATCAAAATAAAAAAAAGTGTAATTAAAGTCACAAATCGGAAAGCCTGTACCGTTGTTCAAGCTTAAATTTGTCAAGTCTTGAGATCATTCACAGTATACTTACAGCGAGGAAGACATTTTTACAGTAAAAGGGTGGAAAAAGATAATTAAGGGGCTAGCAAACTGACAACGTCATGGCAAAAAAAAACCGAAAAAAACGACCAAATGATAAGCAAGAGAACTCAAAACAAAACATGTAAAACTAAAGACTGAGCAGTACTAACCCCAGCAAACACCGGGGGTTATCGCAGGCGCCCCGGAAGGGTGAGTAGATCCTGCTTCAAATGGGAGGTTGCAAAGTCATATATTAAAAAAAGCCAAAAGTAGTATACCGCTGTTCAAAAGTCAAAATTCGATTAAACAAAAACAAAGCCGGATAACAAACTAACACCGAGGGAAACACATCAACTATAAGAGGAAAACAACGGAACAACAGAAACACTGAACTACAACAAAAGTTGTATATAACGTTACATTTTTCTACGCATGGTAAATACTGCACCGTTGGCATGTTTACAGGACGCTTGTAATTATATTCTTGTTGAAGCGTTAGTAATAGTGTCGTTAGATAAAAAAAAGTCAGTAGATAGCCATCGGACATTAAAAAATCATAAAACGAAGATATACCCTAATACAATGACAAAGAAAGAAAAAACGACCAAAAAAACTAACTAAAGTCTACAAAATAATACATAGAAAACTATTAATAAACCGGCAGTGAATAAGTTGCGCCAATTTAAAAGAGACGAAGAGGAATGCTTTTGACAAAGCTTAAAACTTTTAGTTTCTTTTTGGTCGTATATTACATCATAGAACTTGCACATTAGCTATCGTATAGTACATTATGGAGCTAAATACTTATAAATTATTAGTTTTAACTTTTTTTAACATTCATAGTATAGTTAAATCCAGAAAGAACTTCCGAGCCTCAATTTAAGTTTGGATTAATATACAAAAGACTGATATTTGTCAGAAAATATCTCGACGGTTTATTGTTATTTAATTACTGTTACGGTTACAAAGAGAGTGTATTGTTTATTATTACATGAAACCGAAACGTAGATACAAACTATGTATAAGTATCAACTATGCACGCTCAACCTTTATCCCCTCAAAAATAGATGATAAAAAGCTACGTTTTTACTATATGACTTACCAAATGAATTAACTATCTGTATCATGAAAAATGTCCAATTTAGAAAGTAATACAAAGTTCTAAAACTTTTAAATTGAATAATAAGCATGATGCCAAATGCAACTTTGTCTCTACAATTTACATTATGTCCGTTTCCAAGCATTGACTCATTATGTATAAAAAGTTAATTTAAATGATTCGTTTTAATCGTGGAAGCTTACAACCGTTGTTAAAGTATAATATTTATATGTACGCAACAAAACATTTGATTGTTTTGCTTAAAGCTTTGTGAATTTCGTCTAGGGAAAATGCCATGAATTAATACATTTTAGCCCTTCTATCACTAATTATTTGAAATGACGATCAAATATGTCCCACATGATTGTTTAGCATTGTAGCAATTTATTGACATCGGTAATCAATGCTGATAAAAAATATATGATACAAACTATCAAGCATAAACATTATTTTTAAATGATTTTACTTAAACACGCGTCTGGTGAAACAAATGGTAAGCCTTAAATCTTTGATGAGTTTTACTAAGACAACCAATAACCCTAACGATTGATTAAAAATCCAAGTCGTAAGCAAAGTTAGCAGTAAATGATTGTGCGGAGGCCAGAATGGCACTGCCTATTGTTGACCCATATTAGTCATGTTTAAAGCGTATGAGTATGAAATCTGAATAGATCGAGGACGTTTTCTACGTCATGCCTCTATTACACCAACAATCCAATTCAGAGTTAAATAAAAATATAAAGATTAGTAAAGAGTACATGTGGTATATTTTCGATCACAGGACTGTATTTGTTTTGAAATGTAATACATCAAAAATGCACCGCATCAGTAGTGATGTTGACCATAAGTCTCTACAAAATCGTCTTTAGTTTTTTTGGTTGTAATCTACTTAAATAGTTTATTGTTTAAGAAGCATATTACTTTTTGAATGTAATTTAGGGTTGATAACACTTGTTAAATTGAAATTAAAAGGGGTATGTAGAGTGAATGTCATTGAGAGAGCTAAAAAAATATCAAGTATCCAACAAGCGACTTTTCGCAGTAAACGAATGTGTGCACCATGTTCAGTTAAGACATGTAGAGATTTGGCCACAGGTTAAAATGCTATTGACACAACTATTTTTTGTAAAGTGTGTCAGTACAGCTTTAATTCAACTGTAGACTAAGTTAAGTAGAGAATAATATTTTGAATAAATTTTAGTACATGTTTTAAAAAATTTCCAATTGACATTATCCATCAAATATCACAACACATACAGAGTAAATAATTCTTAACACAAACGGAAAACCTTACAATCAGACGTCAGTCCTGCATTCTTTTGGAATCTCCTATGAAGATTTAGAGTGGGTCATTATTCATGTAATCGGAAATTCTAAATAGTTTATCGTTAGCCCAGTAATCGGCACTTTTGACATGATATGTCATTGATACCATTATTTTCAGTGAAGGTTCACGACTTTTTATTTTTTTTTTGTTCAGTCTGGCTAGAATATTGCACATTTTACAAAGATAAACTTGTGATATAACAATTAATACAAGTTCATATTGCCACATCACATACATTTTAACATACGCAGTTATGAACCCTTAATTATGTATTACTTGTACTGTTACGTCAATTTTGGTCCAATTTTTTTTCATAATTTTTTCCGCTGTGCTTTTTTAGAGTAAACTTTAACCGCAACTTCCGATCAAGAAAAGTGTTGTGTCCAATGATTTAATATGCGCACCTTTCGGTTACAGAATATTTTGGATCAGCCAAGCTTTTTCTGGAGCTTTAACATATATATAAGGTCCGAGAAATGAAAATGAACAAAATCTTCGTTATTTGACAATCTGTTCAAAATATGCTGACTTTGGAGCCTATAATGTATTTTCTGAAGAGATTTGATTTGCTCGTCATTTAGGCTTTTGAAATAGATCCAGGACCACATTTCGATCTTTTTGATAATTTAACATGTTTAAGATGAAGATGAAATTCAAGGCCACATTTTGGCTAATGTGAATCTAGTTCAGCACTTTTTATGAACTGTTTATATTTTCGAAACATTAAAGTTTTCTACGCCATACGGAAGCCCATTTAGGACATACCAAAGATATAATTTGAATTCTATATCACAAATTTAATCCGTTATCACGAATTGTATAATTCGTTATCACAGATTTAATTTGTGGAATTCGTTATTACAGTTTTCGTAATTTGTAATTACGAATTAAATTCGTTATCACATTTTTTTGTAATTTGTAATAACATATTAAAATCGTTTTAACGAATTGTATAATTGGTTATAACGGATTTCATTCGTGATAACGAATTTGTTGAATTAGTTATCACAGTTTTTTTTATAATTCGTGATTTCGGATTAAATTAGGCATCACAGATTTTTAGCTCACCTGACAAAGGCTAAAGGATGTTCGCTACTATTGTTTTTGACACTTTGTCAGAAATTCGGAATCCTCAAGTTTTATCCATGTAGAGCCAATAACATACTTGTTTTCTGATCATATTCGCTATAATAATTCATTGAGAGTTTTTCTCTATCTATTATAATTTTAAAGATAATAGACAAAACATAAATTAAAAAAAATGTCAATAAAAGAAAATTACTACTACAAGGAGTCTAAAAACTTTGATGTAAATAGACAGTAGGTAGATTTCGTCATTCTAAACAATTCTCTATCAAGACAAATTTGTATTTTACCCTTATGTTCCATGTTAAACCATGTCGGCCATGTTGTTTGGCAGGCGACATCATCGCACACATTCCTTAAACTAGATACCCTTATTTATTTCTCTCACTTCACTTCACTCCAGGCTAGCCTTATCTACTTTTGCACATTACATTCTATACTAGTCAACAAAAGAAACGAAACACAAGTTTAAACTCCAATTTATCATAAAATATAATAAATATGAAAAACTGTTAAGCTATCCAATGAAAAACATTCATTTGCAAAGCAAATGCATATGATTAAAAGAATCTGACCAAATTGGAAAGTGAGAAAATACTGTGTTATTGAACATAGGGGTAAAATTCATTTTGCGGAAAATTATGACAAAAGTCGGCACTTAATTTCGAAGATAGGAACAAAGTATTCAAATATCTGCAAAGGTATTCAAAAATCTAAGTATACCATGGCACGGATAGTCTTACCAATATTTGGCATATCATTTTGATTTTATTTGTGTTTTCAGTGTTCTTAACATCGCATTTGATTTGTGCTTTCACCTACTTCGATTCTAGCATCACATTTTAATTTCATATCGGCGAACCAAATTGTAAGCATCATGTGTCTATGAGGAGTTTTGACACAAGAATAGCTTATTCTAAGCTTTAACAATGATCTCCAAAAATTTGAAGAAAAATTCATCAAAGTAAAAAACTTCTCAAAAAATTTAAATCATAATCCTTTTTTGTTTATTAAAAATAACATTTTTTATGTTTGTTGGCTATTGCAATTGATGTCAATCTAGGTGACATTTCTGTGTACCCTTTTCGTCGACATGGTAATATATATTTTATGAAGAATATCACATACGAGGGATTGTACAGAAACATGAAAGAAGTGTGCCTTATAGACATATTTCACTTTCCGCTATATTTACAATATCCCTTTATTGAATAAGTCAAATTTTGAATTGAATACTGATCTTATCTATTATACTGAAGATGAATTAAGAACACCCAATCGAAAAAGCCTAAGAAATTTTCTATTTCGTTCCGTTCTAAAATTCAATTTACATTAATAGACGTACGAAACATAAAAAAAGAGATAGAAATAGTTTCTTTTAATTGATTATTGAACAACACACCTATTGAGCAAAGTATTTTAGATAGTAGATTAGCGGTCTATGGTCGATAAATCATATGTTTAAGGGGTCACAGATAATCCAAGTCTAGGTGGAAGGGTTTTACAAATGAATGATTCAATATATAATCGTGATAAAATGACGTAAAAAGCTGAAAAGCCTACGAAATTGTCAATTTTGGTCTGTTTTGTCTGAAAAACTTCGATCCCTTTGTAAAATTACCTCGTACATAGGCCTTCTTTTACAATCGTCGTTTTTTTGGTTACCCATTATTATATTTATGACATTATACATTTTATAGCAGAATGTGATTAACAAGATAAAGATCAAATCGCTTTTATCTTAAACTTATACAAGTGTTAACCTCGGTGATCTCATGACATTTTTGAGTGTGGTCATGGGTTCGAACAAAGGCCGGGTCAAACCAATCACTTCAAATTGGTATTAGTATATAACGTATCTTATCAATAATAGTATAGAGATATACATAAAGCATTTAAGATAAGCTAATCATTTAATATTTATGAAAAATAGTGCGCCAAACATATAAGTATTAATTGGATGCTAACCGGGTTTGATTCATTATGTCTGGATATAGATGTATTAACAGTTACTTCACATATTTGATATGAAGTAATTGGGTTTTGTATATGTACATACAGCATAATTAACCTAGTCATATGTCTCTTTGTATTTATAACATAAACGGTACCAATTTACCTTACTGCACCAGATGCGCATTTCGACTATGTATGTCTCTAGCATCACTACCGTGATGCTCCAGTCCAAATATTTGTAAATCCTGGACTTATACAAACGTTGATGAGCTGATCAGAAACAAAAAGGAATAAAGATATAGCCAAATATAGACATGGAATCAGAGTTTTACATGAGGGAGATTTATTTCTTAATTTATAATTATTTCCATCATTTTAACAGCGAATTTCAATCAAAACAATATCTGTATTTTAATGCCAGTACCGACGCACTAACTATTTTTCAATGATAGCATAAGCGTGCTTAACAACAATGGTGGATGCAGAGAATAGGTTTAGTCAGCAGCAACCGATAACGCAGCGAAAGTTGAACAAATCACTGACATTATAAAGTGAACTGACATAGCAATTATAATGTTAAAATTCGATATAGCTTGCTAAAAATGTAAATATTTCAGTAGAAGAAATTTGCAACTAATTTAATATTATTTTTCAATTTTTTATGTATTTTTTAGATATGTGATAAATAGATGATATATCACGAACTTGTCTATATCGACTTTGCTATAAATCTGTAACATTAAACAAAATATCATACGGTACTACGAGATAAATAAACTCTACCAACTGAGATACCTGATTGAATTTTAAGCAGTGATTATATTATCGACGTACAGGAGCAATTGTATCATATAATTCATTTGTTTCTGCAAGGAACTCTCAATACTGATTTTGCTTGTATCTTACAGAATGAAAATTACATAAGAACTGGTAAATTTTGGGGAAAAAATAATTTTGAAAATTTATTCATTACTAATCATACTTACCAAACGAATATATTAATTGTGTCCTGTAAAGAATCCAAATAAAAGCTTCCAACGTTATTCTTACATAGAGTAACATATCTATCATGTTTCAGAAAACGAATTTGTCTAATAAATAAACAAGCTTTTCACCATAACATAATGCCGTTCATGTTAGCAAAACATACTATATTTGATTTGTTAAACGGCAAACTATATCTGCTGTATCGATAGGGTACAGTTAATCGCTTTTATTATAGTTCCAAAAGGGATTAAGGCTAAATTTGATATAAATACAATGACTTCCTTGTTTGCAATATTAATATAGTGCAATTTTTCGTCAATTTAGTTTTTATATCGTATAGCAAAACGAGATAAATACAAAACAATGGCTTCCTTGTTTACAATATTAATGTAATGCAATATTCCATTCTGAATAAAAGGACACTCTCAGATATAATTAAAGTGAGTTCAATACTTAAATCTCTTTAACTATTTATAGTGAAATCATATCTTTATTGAAACAATATAATACAACAATGATTCAAGTGTAAAATGTTACCAATGCAATGCTGTAATTAGGTCTGTAACACCAAACTAACATAAATGTTAGATACATTTAAATATGCTCATTCACTGTTCTACAATCAATATGTCGATACCTGTATTTTGGCATTGCAGAAAGTCATGTTTTTTCTCTGTGTTAATGATGTCTTTATTCTAAATCCATTGTATGTTGGATGTGTACCGATTAATTCTTTTGTCTTACATACATGATTGTTTATTAGTTGTTATTGGCTTTGAACTGGCTGTGAGTAATTGCGAGTACTCTCATATCTGTTATTTTTAGTCTTTTTAGTTGAAGGGAAGTATAAATATCCTGCCACGTCCGGTTTGAGTTTTTGTTACTTTTTTTTCTGTTTTGTATCAATCTGATGAGTTAAGCCATATTTTCAACAGATTTTTATAGTTTCTTCATATGTTGTACTGTTACACCACTGCAAAAAGGCTTGATCGCGGCGAGAGCTAATTCAAATATTTTTACAATTTAAAGCATATTTTTAAAATCAGACAAAAGGTCCTTCAATATACTAAAACTCAAGTCTAAAGAAAAATTACTTATTTACAAATAAAATTCAATACTAAGATAAGGTGATAAAAATTAAAATCACTTTAAATTTATACAACATTTTTATATTTTACAATATATTCCAACTTCTTTTAAGAATGAAACAATATTTTTAATTGAAACACTATCAAATAAATCATTCATATAATTGACATTGAAATGCTTCAAACGAATATCAGCAAAGTCAATACAATTTATTAAAACATTTTTAAAGGTATACTTGCAGTTGCAAGGTTTACATTGTGGTTCATCTTCAATTTTTAGAAGATACTCATGTGTTATTCTTGTATGACCAATACGGCATCTAGAAATAGCACATTGATCTTTTCTGCAGATAAAATTATTAAAAGGTTAACCTAATTTAGGTTTAAGTTCATGTAATTTATTATCATCTTTTTTACTCCATTCATTTTTCAATATATTTAAAACATATTCTCTAATATCAGATCTAAAATCGGTATATGTTATATCACAGTTAGATAAAGGATCATCCAGGGCATTTTTGCTTCCTGGTCTACAACCGTGTTTCCATGGATTCCAACATGACTCGGTAACCATAGAAAAATTATTTCTTTATTTAGAATTTTTAAATTCCTCATTACGTATAAAATCTTGAGAATTATCCGATTTTTAATTTTAGTATGTTGTATAGCTTGTAAGCATGAAAGTATCAGAACATATATTAGATTTTGATTTATCTGAAGACTGAAGTAATAAATTTCAAAGCCAAAATTATTGCCTTTGCTTCAGCAGTAAATATGGATGCGATAGCTGGCAAACGGTGAGTCGCAGCTCTGTCTCCAAAGACAGCAGCAGATGCAACTTGGTTACCATCCTTCGATCTATCTGTATAGACAGTTGAAAAATCTAAATAATTTGCCTTAATTTCAGCAAAATGTTGTTGAATTAAAAGAGGGTTTGTTTCAGTTTTATTGTATTTACGGAGATCAAATATCATTTTCGTTTTGGGAAGTTCCCATGGAGGGCATTTGCAAGTTTCAACTTGAGCAACAGATTTTAAATCAAAAGTGGTTAAATGTGGTTTAAACAAATTCCAAATAGTGGAATTTTATTTTCATGTTTTGCAAATATATCTTCATAAATGGGATTAAAAACACAGTTGTATGGAGGATTTTCTGTATATGCTTTTAGCTTGACAGCGTATTGAAGTCCAAGCTTCAAACGTCTGTTGGAGAGTGAGTGCTCATCAGCCTCTACATACAGACTCTCTACTGGTGAGGTTTTAAAGGTGCCAAGACAGAGACGCAAACCCTGGTGATGAACAGCATCGATAATCTGTACGTAGAACTTCCTTGCAGAGCCATACACTATTGAGCCATAATCTAATTTAGATCTAACTAGAGATCTATATAAATTTAGTAAAATGTTGCGATCAGCACCCCAGTCAGTGCTGCCGACAACTTTTAAAATATCTAATGCTTTTAAAGATATTGATTTTAACATTTTGATATGGGGTAGAAAGCTTAACTTTTTATCAAAAACTAACCCACGAAATTTGGTTTCATCAACCATTTTAATTGGGTTTCTATATACGGTGAGTTCTAGATCAAGATGCAATTTTCTTTTGTTACAAAAATTTATATTAAAGAATAATATTTAGTTTGGTCTTAAATTCCTGAAAACAAATAAAAACAATATTCAAAGTTTCTATTTTTTGGGCTCGGTAAACAACATCTCCGTTAAAATTTTGATGTGTTACTCCGTTTGAAATAAGTTCTTTATAGGTACAGTCAAACTTACAAACCAAATCTTGGTAGAATTTAGTAAAGGTTTTAAGTAGGGATGTCAACGAGTACTCGAGTACTCGAGTATCGCTCGGTAGTACCGAGTATCGAATACCAAAATGATACTCGACTAATCGTTTTTTTTTTGTTAGAATGTTGTTGCCTTCTTAAAGAATTTTTTTTTTATTAAAAGCGCCTCCCGGGAAATTTAATATCAATCAAAATAATAATACGCTTCGAATGTTTGCGTTTAATTGTCATTTAAAATTCCCTCATGCGCTATGAACAAGAGCACCTTTCCAAGGCCTGCACTTTTAGCTAATCGTGTCCTAGTCATTCTACCAAGGTGACCTCTGTACCGCCAGAGCAAATATTTTTATCAGCAGGACTGTTAGTTACGTAAACAAGGTGGAAAAATTGAATTGTCCCAGAAAAAGTTGACAAGATAATATTTCTAAATAAGAACAAATTCGTTGCACCCTGGGTCGACCCTCAGAGAATGGTTAAAGTCCTAATCATCACCCCTTTGTTGATCATAAATGTGTTTCTTTACGATTCCCAAATACTGTTGTTTTAGTTATAAATTTTCTATAGATATTTATTAATTAATTAATTAGATTATTTCCTGTTTACATAATTAGTATATGTAGTAAATGAGCTATTAATTATGGTATAAAATTCCTGGGACTATTATCTAGTCCAAGGTATTAATGTTGAGGGTTTTACGTCCATAAGACAACTCCCCACAATCAGTAAATTGGGTTTAATTTTGTGTTTCCATTTTGTATATGTTTTTCAGAGCGAGTACTCGAGTATCGCTCGGTAAATCCAACGAGTACTCGATTAGTAAATCTTCACCGAGTTGACATCCCTAGTTTTAAGTAATCTGTGATAAAGAAATCCCTGCCTAAAACATTTACCAGTAATACATAGATTACGTTTGTTGAAATCCAAAACGTAACTTCAGACACGGGCAAATGCATATTCAGGACGAGAACATGTTGACGTGAGTTGAACGCTGCTTTGTTCTAGATCGACCGACTGAGATTTTTATTGTGCTAGTTCCCTAGGTAACAGCTCGAAAGAAGGCAAGACACCTTACTCGAACGAATTACTCTGACTCCGGTCCGACCAGTCTTTGCTCTTACAGCTAAATGCAGTGAGCTTAGCGGAGAAGCAGTACATACCAATTATCACGTCATTGGTTTGACCCGGTCGGGTATCGAACCAACAACACCCCGCACTGAAGGAAAACACGCTACCCCGAGACCAACGTGGCAGGCTGTTTTTATATACTGAAAACCCCATACTAGTAGATGATTCTTTATTTACTATATTCTCATACTCAAAGTCACGGGTTCTTAAGTTTCTATAAATAACCGTTATGGTTTACGACATAAAATATATTATAAAATTATTTTGTACAATAATTATTGTTAACGTTGAATTTGAGAACCTATAAATTTCAAACTCAAAATTTGTAAATGTCAACACGTCATGTAAATAATTATTTACTATATATTGTTGCAACCGATCGTTCCGTCTTCTCAAGTCCTTATTTGTGTTAGCTGATCAAACAATCTCGCCTCGGTAAAGGCAAGAGAACCCTGTTATTATACCGCTTAGCAGTGTTATCATAGAGGTATAAAGTTGTTTAGGTAAGTGAGCTCGGTCACCTAGAAAAGTCTAGATGGGGTAAACAAAATAGAGAATATTTGAACAATTAAATAAAGAATAGAGAAAAATGTGGCCAACAATATAAAGGATAGAAAATGGTGGGATGCCAAAGTTTAATGAAAACAAAAAAGAAAAACGGATAAGAAAAACATTAGAGAAAAACAGCCTATACATAAAGATCACATAAATGACAACCCATTGACCAGACCCTCAATGAGGTTTTTGTAAAATCTTTTCTAGTTGTGTTACTTTAATCCGATTTTTGCACGAAGCAGATGGTATTTGGTCCCAAAATTGCAACATCATCAATCCTTAACATTATATAAATTTTCATATCTCACAACAATACTGTTGTATATGACATATGCTGAAGAACTCCACAACATGTGACTGAAATAAAATCAGTTTAAAATTTATTTTTTTTAAATTATTTATTAAATTAATAATAACTGTACTTAACTCACTTTGGTTTAGGAATTTAGCAACAACTTTAATTTGAGGAAACTTTTTTTTAAAGTAAAGTATGCATAGTAATTTGTTGTAATAGCTATAAACGACTACGACGGAATATTTCCATTGCCCAGGGAAGAGGATATATTTATGATTAGGGCTTTTTTAGATAACCTGGATAATATATTGATATACATTGTGATTTTTCAAAAAAACTTTAAACACCAATATATCATATTAGATCCATTAAATTAAAGAAAAAAATTTGGAAAAAAATGCTTTAATATA